GTAATGAAATAACGAAGTATTTTCCTTCGGTTTTTCGTATATGTAAAATCGGAAAATGGCCAATTTTTCATTTCAGAATACCTTGTATATTTTTACTTCACTTCAAATCTCAAACTTCAAACTTTTTTTTTTTTTTCCGAGTAATTTTGCTCAAATCGTCGCTTTTCTGAATTAAAGCTAACCTAAAACCTAAGTTTAGCATAATATGTAACTGCCCTTTTTTTATGTAGAATAACAATAACAACCAGCAATCACCAAGAAAATAAAATCACAAAAAAGATTAATGAATTACTACGATTGAAACTGTAGACACAAAATAAGGACTAAGCAACCTGTCGAACGCGTCTACAGCACCCTCTGTACCTTTACATACGCATCGGCATCACGTATTTTCGTTCACATATACTATAAACAAGATCGGCTCAACTTATGTCCAAAACTGCAAAAAGCATTAACTGATAAAAATCAAAGCGATATAAATAGTATAGATCTTATGGATGAACAAAATTTCCTAGCCGGTTGAAACTCTACGCTATATCGTTGTCAACAACATAGCGGTGTGCAGAAAAGAATTTTAGATATATCCCTAGATATCAGCTCTAGAGCATTTTTTGTGCCCTGTTGTAATCACAGTTTGAACCTTATCGTAGACTACGCTGCGAACACAATTTATTCAGTGCAAAATTATTGGATATGTATATCAATTTGTCTTTAATTTTAAGATAATAAATAGTCTTCAGCAATATAGTATTTGGTATCCAATGCGTTTAGTATATTATTTCGCTTCACTTGCAGTGTTACTTTTTTTATAACATGTTGTTGTTGTTGACTATTGTTCACTTGTCTGCCTATAGTCGGCCCAAGCCCACGCAATACCTCGTGGGAAGGAGCGCAAGATTCACTTGTCCTTGGCAACAGCCTTGAGCACCTTACAGGTGACAGTGCGATTTAGCTCAGTTTCGCCCCCAATTTTGGTGGAGAGCATCCTGGGGGGGACGTGTCCGAGCGTCTAGCACCCCCTTCTCCTACCACCAACCTTTCGAGAGGACTTTCGCCTCACATATTTGGAGTGCCCCCATGCCGCACGGACACTATACAAACATATATGTCTTCTCCAGGATTCGAACTCGCGCCCTTCGGCACGGCAGTGAGCAACGCTAACCACTACACCGATAGGAGGCATTTTATAAAATAAATGTATGTGTAATTTTTAAATAAATATGTTTGAGTGTCAGTTTTAACAAAGCACAAAATGTTTGCATATTTAGACAAAAGATAAAATGTAATTTTTTTGGTTTTTCATATTATTATGTTAATAATGCTTCATTTTAAATGTTAACCATAAGCAATGTCCCTTTAATATCGTCACTACATGAAGGCGCTTGCTAGACATTTGCCCGACGGGGCGGGCCTGCATATGATCCCCTCTTACAGCGCAGCGTGATGTCATACTGAAAATAAGGCAGTTTATCAGTACCTGTGGCAACTGGTCCCACTCATTCAGCGCAATGCTGTTTTCAGTTCCTGGATGGTTCTCGGGAGGGGTGTTGCGAGTTGCAATTGCCCTCCCCAGAGTGGCCCAGACATGCTCTCTAAGTTACGAGTGGCCAGAAGAGTGGAATAATGGTATAGCAGACCGACGCACTTGCCAGTTCTTACCAAAAATCTGCACAGAAATTAGAAGCTCCAAGCCCTTCCTAACATTATTATCTCATGGTCATGGCCCATATCCAGATAATTTTCTTAAAAGGAACCTCTCCAATAGTGACAGTTGCGCCTGTGGAGTCAAAGGAGATGCAGACCATTACCTTTTCTTCTGCCCACTTACAAGTGGCCTACACATTCGAAAACCCACCAATCTAGATCTTAACTTTAAAAGACTGGTGATATCTCAGTGCCATCTATTCCAAAAACCATGAAAATGCACCAAAAACTCAAAGCTCTAGAACTAGACCTATCGCCAAGTCACACCTTAGGACTGAGTATAAAAAAGCGGAAAGAGCAATGTCTTCGTTACACCCCAATAATTGACTCCGCGCAACATTAACAATTTTCATAATGCACCAAAACACCGAACCTACTGAGCTGAGACCATGAACTTTGGACTGAAAGATCTTGCTCAGTACAGTTTTACGTAACGAATGTCCTTATCTAACAAGAATCAGACTCCCAATACATTAGCAAAATCAAACTCCATATGTTTTTCCACTTACATAAAAATGCAATACTTTCAGAGCAATGATATCCAAAATATTAACTTTACTATATTCACGTAATCAATACTTTAATGAATATACTAAACAGTTTCTGTTATTTATGTAATTTTGTATATATATAAATAACTTTGTATAACATTTTATGTTATTATCCTCTTATGTTTAAATGTAACAACTCCGATGTATAACTCCAGTAGTACTTAGAAATAGCATATAGTCAGTTCAGGTTTTTCATATTCTAGCATATTAGTGTATTGGGACAATACCTGTTCGATTCTGTAGTGAAGTTTCTGGTATCTTTCATGCACTTTTACCTGTTTACCTACGAATGGTTTCTTCTTCTGGGATTACATGAAAGACCAATATATATAATGTCATCTACCAGTCTTTTTGATCTACATCCTCACATCACTGAGGCATGCACTAGTGTAACAGATTCCAAGTTGATAAATGTGCACCAAAAGTTAAATGGCGCTGGCACCCATCGGAGACTGGCTCCAGTACTTCACCCTTTTTTAAATGCATCATACTAATGGCCGGGCTTATTGGAGCCCTAAATAAAAAGGTTTCGGCACTTCTTTTACGTGCAATTTCAGCAGATAAATTTTATTTTAATAATAAGTTGCTTAAAAAATATATTCTAATTCCTGAATGCACGCCTGTCTTTTCCTTCCTGGGGAACAAACACTTTGACGGAGGTTGAGACTTTTAAGGAGAGATAAATCCTTAAGCACATGCCAAAGGCTTTTTCTTTAGGAGATGCAATGAATTTATGACAGCAGGTAAATTTTCCGTTTTCGAAAGTGCTAAAAACAATAATAACATAATAAGGCTAAAAATCCTAGTCGTGCACGTTCTTCGTTTATGCAGGAGTTTATGCAGGAACTTTTTGAAGACGTAAAACCAAATAAGTGGGATGATAATTGTCACCTATGTTTATTTTTTATTTATTATTATTATTATTATTATTATTTATTCTACTTGACAACTTAGAATTATATTGGCAGGTCGTTGCGGTCAGAAAGTTTTAGACTCTTTTCTCATGGTTTTGAAGCTAGACTTCTCCGTTAAAATTTCCTTCCATATTCTCATACTGTTGTCTCATACATTCTCTCTATTCTCATGAGTGAAGTTTTAATCGTTTCACCTTTTCTCATTGGTAGTCTGGAAAGAGAATTTTCTTTGTTTCTATGATTCTTTAAAACAGTATATTATACCGTATATTCGGGATTTAAATGCAAACCGGTGCCACCTGAGCTACTTCTTAGTTTATGAGTGAAACTGTAATTCCATCCCCCCCTAAAAAACATGCGGTTGGAATTTTTTTTATTTAGCTATTTATCATTAATATAATAATTTATTAAATTAGTATTTATCTCTTTGTACTTTATATAATTTTAATTATTTTATTACTTTAACTATTATTAATTATTAGCTATTTTATTTTGTTATTTATTACTTTATTCATTACTCTTCCCACCTAACTTTCTATTACGTCAGTCCAACTGCATGAAATTCTTTAAATATATAGATAAGATTCTGCATACCATGCTCCTCATTACATCACAGAGACTTGGCATCTCGGTAAATGCATCAGCCAGACGTCATCAACATCTAGCTTTGAACACCGATATATCTGCCATTTATGCTATATCATTCTCGATGTTTGCATTAAACACCTCTAACACACTACTGAAAATTAAAACTTTATACTCGGTTGCTATAAGTAAAATCCAAAATAATTTTTAAAAACTGCAGAGAAGACTCGTGACCCCTTTGGGTCAGTAAATCCGTTCACTATTAGACTAAAATTCTTACTACAAGAATAAAATTTCTATAAACAAAGATGGCAATTGCGTCAATCCATACTACAACATTTCTGGAAGAGGTGGTGAAAAGAATACCTTTTCCAACTGCAACAAGGTCCTATGTGGCAAAGACCACTAAGAGACTTTCAGGTCGACGATCTTGTTTTACTCAAGAAAATGTTCCACCACTATTATGGCATATGGGAAGAGTCATTAAACTCCATTCTGGAAGTGACGGTAAGATCCGTGTGGTAACGGTACAAACTGCACACAGAGAACTCAAGAGACCTATCGTTAAGTTTTGTCCTTTATTGAACCATGAGACGAACTCCTAAATATGATACAAACTGTTAACTGATATACACTCTTGAACATGGTATTGATTAGCAGCTTCAAAAACATTTGCATTCTATTATGTTTATAATGTTTGTGTTTAAAATTGTAATTAATTAAAACTATGTTCCAATGGTGGGCGGGATGTTTAGCCCACATTTTCAAAACTGAATGGCAACCACAGGCTGATGCAAATTAACTTTCTCGAGCTATATGAGAAGAGTAAAAAAAAGCAATGACTTGGTGACCTCTTTTTTTTTTTTTTTTTTTTGTTTGTGTTGTTCTTTCAATATTCAATAACTAAATTTTCATTAATATAGTTCACTTGAAATATTACTTTATTACATAAGTTCTACACTATTTAGGTGTCTTTAAATTGACTACAAACTCCAAGTACCTCAAATATAATCAAAAGAATTGCTGTAACTAAAAATTAAAAAAAAAAAAAAAAAACTCTTTTGACAAATATTATCAGAATTGTTTCATAAAATTATTATTGGATTAGAAATTCTAACATAAGATCGTTGCCATATCCTTTTATAACTCAATTATATAACCGAAGATTTATTATAAAAATACTTTAATAATGACAATGAATATTTTAATATGAAATGTTCTAATAATAATAATACTGAATACCTACCTATGAGTTGAGCAGCCTCTGAGTATGTTTCAACATTGCAAGCAGATGAAAATTTACTATACGGTGTAAAAAAAGCTGGAAACATTTTCGAAGAACCAAAAGTAGCAACACAGACTCCAAGAGTTTCCTTCATGAAGAAAAATAGTCATGATAAACAGCCCTAATTTATTACAGCAAATTTAGCAACTGAAAAACACTGCATTATATAAGGAAGTTTACATAATGCATAAATATACTGCAACTCAGTGTAATATATATTTCAGTGACATCTGTAAGAATTGCTTTTAACTGCATACACAATCTAAATGTCAGTATTTTAATAATACAAAAGAGTACCCCAAAATAACCTGCTTATTTTTAAGAATTTATATTTATTTTAATTTATATATTTTTGTCTCTTTAAAAGTGTTCTCCATCAGCAGTGGTGCACTTTCCTCACCGTTGAGTATGCTGCTTGAAATAGGGAAACGATTCTGGAACTCTCAACTGAATATTATTCAGGCAAACAATGAATTTTCTTACATCTTATGCACATCACTGAATTGCTATTTTTTTAATCTACTATATTAGCTTTTAAAAGCTTTCTTTATCCATGAAAACAGAAAAAAAAAAAAAAAAAAAAGAAAGCACACCAAGAGAAAGACACATGTAGTTCTTCCCCAGGAACTTGTAAGAAGGAGACAGTTTCTTCAGAAATCTGGTGAACAATCGTTCGACAAGCTTCATGTATAGCCTGTTGCACTCTCTCAGTGTTTTACCCAATCTCCTCATCAACGAATCTCGTAGTCTCAGCAGTCTTTATTTGATTTGTTGCCACTTTTGAATCTGAAAACTACTCGCATACGTGTTATTTATTCAAAGCGTCGTCTTTAAAAGTAAGCTGACCCACAATGGCCTCATCTGGAGTTTTCTTCAACAAAATAATAATAATAATAAAATCTCATCAGCAATCATTTGTCCTCTGTGTTCATCAAACTCAGAAAAGTAAGAGAAAAAACACTATGGATGAACACATCAGCACTGTGGACGAACTGCTCTACTCAGATTGATGTTATTTGGTCAAATATGTGAGGAAGATCCAAAGCTCATGAGGCTGAGAGGCAAGATCCGCAGTACGAAATGCTCGCTTTTAATGCTGTCATTCCAGTTACTTTTTGATACTTTACCTATGACAGTTTTCAATGAAGTATTTTAACGATTTGTTCACAGCACCTTTCTGCCAGAAATATTTTGTACGGGAACAGAGTAATCAGAAGATGAAATATAAGCAATATTTTCTTATTTTTTTAATACTGTATAATTTTTATATATGAGTTTTCACATTTAGATATTTTAAATGAGATAGTAAGCACACTAGAATCTAAATTAAAATAATAAGCAGCTTTAACTTATTGTTGAGGAAACCTTTGAACACATTAAGTTTAAGTTATTTTTAGCAGAAACAAATATTTTGAGGAAAATCAATGAAGCCATGCATCTGTTAAGTCAATAAAGAATTGTTCAAGTAATTGCTATTCATATAAAACAAGTACTAGAAATTCAGAATTTATAAAAATGTTTCATTTATTCAAACATAAAATGACTGAAAACACTCTTCAAAAGTGTTAAAAGAATATTCTTTACCTGCTAGAAACAAGGTATATTAGTGTCTGCAATCCAGTCATACCTCTAAATATTTTTATCTGAATCATAATCTCATAAATATTAACTTTTATTAATATTATTCTAATAGTCAACTAAAATTCATAAGATACACATGAAAAAAGCAGCATTTCTTTGTCTTAAATATTTAACATAAAAATATAAGTATTTAAAAGAGTGAAATACTGAAGATCCAAATGAAAATTAACTAAAATTACAAATCACTTAATCAGTTACTATTTTTCATTTAGCTTCATTTTAAATACTTCAGTTAGTTTCATTTAATGCTTAATCTAATAAATATTTTCTTCTTTCCCTATTAAGCTTTTATTTTATATTTGAAACACCTTGAAAAACTGCTTGAAGTTTTAAAATTTAAGTTCATATATGAAATTTAAATTAACAAAACAAACAAATAGTGTAGTAATGTTTTGAAGTTATTTTTAGTACCTAAAGTCAGTATAAGAAGTTATTATGCAGTACAGTAAAAACCTAGAAGTGAAAACAATTCAATTTTTACTTTGTTTTCAAAGCATAAAATTTAGTAATGCAAGAAATAATAATTCAACAAAGCTACCATGATAAATATAAATAGGATATAAACATGCATAAAAAAACTAAAATGCTTACCAGGTATTCCAGAGTGAGTCCAATATCAAGAATAGATTTCACTCCTGCTGAGACTACAGTCATAGGAGTACGAGATAGCTCATATAGATCTGCACTTATATCCATAGCTAAAGCATGAAAAAAAATTATCTTGAAAATTATTTCAAGTGTTAAATGCAAAAAATCAGATTTACTTTAATAATTAATACACAATATTTAAAAAACAACTTGAACAAAGAATCATTGGGGCACTAATAACAATATTGAAAGTATTAGCAAAACCAATGTATTTGTAAATTGCTTGAAGGTAACAATTATTAAAATATACACAGGATGGACTAACAGACAAAAAAAATGGTTTGAGAGCAAAACTTGTGTTCAGCTACTGTAAACTCAAGTGGAATCAAGAGTGTTCAAAATTTCCAAATTAAAAAAAAAATAACATTGCATCAAATTACAAATAAAATGAATTAAGGATCAATACAGATGATATCATATGGAACATTATGGCAACATACTACATATAATGTCTGCTTCAAAAAGGACAAAACGATCCCAGTTTGCTCTGAATGGAACAATAAATGATTAAACTATAATATGAAGCTTGACACATATTCAAGTTGCCCATTCAGAAAGTTGGGCTGAGAATATAACAGCACAAAAGTAAAAGTATAGAGTCCTCTTCTGTCATCACAAATATTCAGGTTAGAAAAATCTTATTTAATTTATGTTTGATCCCTTTAGTTAATGTGAAATAATGTCTGCTAGCCAAGTTCATTTTAATTTTGCTGAAGATAAATCAATGTAGTGGTCCTGATGGCTTTCCCAATACAAACTAGTATTTCTCACAAGAAAATGCTCTGTGTCTTAAGCACATCATACAGCATGTGAATGATTTGAACAACATGATAGTTATTTTATTTTCCTGTAATGGCATCTTGAGTTCTCAGACATCAATTCAATTTAGTATTTGTATAAGGACGATAAAAGGAAAATTTAACAAATGGTTCTGCATCCATCAATTCTTTCAGAAGAATTCGGCATAAGCATAAATATTTTAATAACATTAGATCTCATACTACCAGCAAGTTGCATAGTTTATGCAATAAAGGGACTTATTACTTTTGCACTGAAAACTGTACCATTTTAAAAAGATGATAAATACTCATGACTGCCCATTGTGATAACTTAGTTGAGAATATGTTCCTATTCTAGTTCAGATATTCCCCACTGTAGAAAACAGAACATATCTGGTGGTGTTTTACATCTCTAAGACAAATGACCAAGGTACTCTATATAACTGGCCAAGGCGTCACAGTCAGAAAATACTTTGTATATATACAGAAGCACTTTCAGGCTTGGTTCTTACAAATTTTAAAAGACAAAAATTCAAGACAGCATGATTTCTTTTATTATCTAACTGCTAACTACAATAACAGAAGAACTTTGAAATAAACATGGCTGTAAATTCAACACAGAATTTGTTTCTGGACAAATCCTTGGGATGCATATTCTGATTCATATATTGGCACAATCTGCATACCACATTTTCGTAAGTTTAATACATCTCAACACATACAAGTGATGATAGAAAGGCAAGTGACAACATCCTAACATGACATAAACAAAGCAGGAAAAATATGATACACTCAGAAGTGTGTGATAGGGTAAAAAAGTTTTAGTTCTCAATGGAGATCTTATACAGTGATAGGCTAAAAGCTACCTACATTGCAGCAGTGCGTAAAATCGTACGATATGGATTAATTTTGAAATGAAGCAGTTTTTAAACAGTTGCTATTTTAGGACACAGAGGGAAACTATCTAAATTAAAATAAAGGATAAAAGAAGCAATTGCCAATTAAAATCAGAAGTTTGCTTTGCATATTTATCTCATATATAGTTTGCTTTGCATATTTTATCTCATATATAGTTTGCTTTGTATATTTTATCTCATATACATGTATACGTGCATTATATAATATTAGAATTATTACACATACACATACAGAGACAAAAAGTAAGAAATTTAGAACCAATTTCACAAAAACCCAAAAGAAGTGAATAAATAATTTTAAGTAAAAAAATGTGATTCTCTCTCTCTATATATATAGCTAGAGACATAGAGATAGACAAACAAAAAGTAAGAAATTTAGAACTCATTTTACACAAAGAGCCAATAAAAGTGAAATTCAATATATTTTTTTAATTTCTTGTGATATATGTGTGTGTGTAATAATTTTAAGTCTGATACAGATGATGGTGATGCATAAACATGATATGCACTCATATCCAATACAGCACTGCAAACAGAAATGAAGTAGCTACTAAAAAGATATAATCAGGAATTCTTCTCCTGATACATTATATGGGGAATGATTATTTACATCAACAGAATACCTTAATAACTCCATGTACCACACAGAGTCGTAGCTATGGTTTTCAGCGCCCAGGGACAACTGAAGATTTCGCTCCCCCTACTGCTTGCCAAGGATGGAAAACATTTAGTTCTAAAATGTCATAACATCAGTTTGGCGCCCCTTGGATTCTGCGCCTGGGGACAGATCTCCCATTCCCCCCTCTAGCTATGCCCCTGGTACCACATCATCATACAATTCCACACACACGCACACATTCCATTATAAAAGCTGTTTATTTTGAGCACTCTATCTGCCTATACATTTTTACCAATTATTTTTTAATCATCCTGAAGGATACATTACATTTTAAGTTAAAAAAATCATTATGTTGGTTAAATAACAATTTTCAAAAAAAATTATTAAAATTTTGTTTTACAGAAAAGTGGTAATTATAAATATATAAAATATACTAAAAGTAATATTTTCCATATTGCATATAAGTAATAGCAGTTTATGTGGTTTATGAATACAAAGAATATAAGCTCTTATAGCTTCAATTCTTAATGATTTCAATTAATATCGTTTGAGATGAAGTTACAAGATGAATGAAAGCATTGATCATTCCATTTTTGGTCATACTCTGCTACACTTTCTGTTTGTGCTCTCTCCAAAACATTTTATTTTTTCTTTTTTATAATAATTTCATTCAAGGGAAACATTGAATGAAGCTACCATATAAAATGAGATCAAAATTTTTATATGATAATTTCAGAAAAATAAGGATATATTTTCATATAAAAGAACAAAAGATAAACTAAGTTTTCCTTTTCCATCAACAGAGTGCAAGAATACACAAATTTTTAAAATAAATTAAAATGTTTGTATATAGCAAAAAACCAAATCAATGTTTCATCATCTGCATGGATGAAAAACAAATGAAAGAGCCAAAAAAAAAAAAAAAAAAAGGGGGGAATTTTTATGTTAAAAAAATTGTAAAGAAGGGAACATAGACCAATAGCTTAGCTGCCAACCTCAAAATACCATATGAAAAACTAAGAGGTTCTTTTTTACATAAAAACCTAAAGATTCCAAGGATGTTTTGTGCTGTGTAGCAGTATCAAAAGAACAGAAAATTGATTTATATACACTTTATAATGCATACTTCAGGTTACAGAACTTATTCAGGCTGTATGACTCTGATATAAAATATTTAGTTAGCTATTGTAAATTTTATGTTCTTTAGCTAATTTAATATTCTAATTTCCTTACTCTAGAGAAGAAAAGAAATTTTTTATCTAAATACTTTTAAATATATTGAAAATTAAATTGATAAATAACTTACATGCTATTACAGATAAATGAAATAATGTATTATTAACTGACATAAAACAAAATTAAACACAAATATTAATTGATTAAACATTGACTGAATATTCATAAAAAGTTCTACAAATGTTTACAGTAGATCAAGACAGTTAAGATCAAACAAAATTTATGCTGAAAATCACACTAGGGATATTGGGATGGAATTTGCACAATTTACATGTCATTTATTCAACAAATTTACTTCATTGTTGGGAAACATTTTCCCTGATATTTTCCTTAGCAAAGGTTAAAAATATAAAAACGGGAGATTCCGTTATCTATTTGGAAATCTACAGAGCAGCAATTATGCAGTAACACATAGAAATTCTGCTCTGGAAGTATATAAAACAATTTATAAGCAATGTAAATACTAAGATATTACAAAAGATTAAATCTAAAGTTCATCTACTTGTTTCAGCTCCTCTGTGAACTCCACCAATTCCACCAGTCACGAACAGTGGTATACCAGCTCTGTGAGCTAAAAGCATTGTTCCAGCTACAGTAGTTCCTCCACTCAAACCCTGAAAATAATGATAAAGGGTTTTTTAAATAAAAATTAATCCAAGCAGAGAATTACCAAGTAGTCCAGATATTACAGAAAGAAAATGTTTTTCACAATATGCTTAACAATGAAACCAAGTTTTGTTTTACATTACAAATTTAATCTGATGGTTTTTAGAATATTTTACCACTTTAATAACATAAAATGCATGCTGAATTGTAAATTTCCTCCTGAGAAAAAGAAGTGGGAATTACTAAATAAATCCTGATTTAATTTAATAAATTAACTAAAGAAATAAAAGAACTTCATTTGATTTAGCTTGTTATCTCATTCATTGCTATAATGCTATGAATGCTGCTAGAATGACTATTCATCACAGCAACCATTCAATTTCAATGTCTGGTGCAAAAATAACCCAACTGAAGAGAATATATTAAATCCAACTGTATCGTAATAACTTTCCATTATAATTTTATTTTTCTTCAGGAAACTAGGAAGTATTATAATGAGCATTAGCTGTATTGATGATTTAATTCTTCTTTACATGGTTATATTAATTTCCTTTGAAAATTATAGCTCAAAGCAAATTCTGAATTAAAATAAATACTCATATTTTTACCAATGACAGAAAACAGATTACGGTTTTTTAAACTTAATAATAAGTAAACAATGATAGAAATATCAAATTCTATAAAACCATGAATTTAATTACTATGGTGAATTTACAGCAGTCTCATCAAACAGAATACAGTGTTTGAAACAACGCAATCATTAATCTTAATTCCAAATAAAGTATCAAAACTGAGCTTTCCACAATTTATATACAAGGCTAAAAGATGCTGTATAAGTAAAAGTTAAGAAAAATAGCTATACAAAATTTCAAGCATTAAAAAATTAATTATACATAAAAATGAGAGAGGAAAGTAAGCATTTGATTTTATTCTGGACTTCTTTAATCAAACATCATATGCAGGTTATACATATGTAAGATAATCATTAGATATTCTACAGATTTCCTTCTATGACTAAATCTTTTGATAATTTACCAGTACAAAAATTAGTTCAACAATTTTATTAATGTTTAGTTATGGTAAAATATACCTGTGAAAATGAAACTAATATGTTTCACTATAAGAAATACCTGAAATAATATCAAGTCTCCAGGAAGAGAAATATTCAGGTTTGACTAATATTAATATTACATGTTAAAGCAAATAAAACCTGTGAGTAGCAAATTTTGAATCATGAAAAGCTGCATTAAAAACAACAGTTATTTATTACTTTTGCCTAAGTACTTATTTTATTCTTTGCTCTCATAAGCTTCTATTCATTAAGATGATATTTAAAACATTATAGAAAATCAAGAAGCAATATATTAGTTTAAATAACAAGATAATATATATAAATGGTCATGCTGCACAAAGTGTTAAACTTGAAACATGAGACCACAACTTCAAGCGCTCATTTACTACAAGATGGATTCTTCAAAGATTTTCTAAAGCAAGACTTCTTATTTTTTGGTGTGTGTGCAATTACAACACCTTCTTAAACAGAAGCCCAACTACGAGATCGTGACGTCACAAACTGGCGGCTGACAATCGCCGTTGGTCACCTACTACCTGCCTTTAAACTATACATGTTTTTAAAGCTTTACTAACAGGAGGGTATTTTCTAATGATGTAGACACATATTATTTTTTCATTTTTACTTTATATATATTGAAAATATATATTTTCTATTCATTCGCGGATATAATATTGGAAACATTTTCCTTTGCACAAAATATATATTATTAATTTTGTATGATCTTATATTGTATGTTTACAGTTAAAATAATGCTTTAAAGTACTGGTTGACTTTTGATAAGGACTTGAGGTAATGTTGGAATCTCTCTCCATACTAATAATATTCAAGTCACTTAACTGCATGAAAAATATATAAGAAGGATGCGTGGAAATATTTTTAAGGATATTAGAAGTTTTTAAATTTTAGCGGGGTAGATTTATAAGCATACATATTACACGAAAAACCTAAATTTTCTAAACCTTTTATTATTTTCACAATATGTCCATGCAAAAATTGTGCTGATAATGATTTTACTATGGCAATACTTATAACATCCTTATATGAAGATAAAAACACAAGCAGAATTAGCAGCGTTTTCACAATTATATTTTGCTACATTCCTATTATATTTTCAACTTTGAAATCTAAGAATGGCTTAATGTGAATTTTGTCAAGCATTAAAGTGTGTATTATCGTTTTCGCCTAAAAAGCGGATTTTTTTTCCTTAGCATAATTCCGGAAATTTTCAGGAGTTTGCTCCACTTTAGACTACATTATATTCAGAACACAATCTTTTCAACGGATGTGGCAAAGTAACATATGCACTATATCTTAAAAATTTATAGCAATGTGGAGAAATTGAAAACATCAAACTTGATAATATTAACAGATCAGGAACTATACCTATTATTATTTTTATGCAAAACGAGTAATGTCAGCTGTTCATATATAAACTGAACTACTTTCTTTTTTATGTTCAGGGGCATTTTTTTCTAATTCACGAAGGCCTTGAGTTACGAATAATAAATTTTTAAAGCTGTTTTCATTATTATCACCTTTAATTTTTGCAACTTCTTTAAGCAATGAACAGGAATTATGCACATCATTAATATTTAAAGGGAATTCATCATTACTAATTTTTGTTAATGGAATATCTCTAAAATATGCTCCCACTTGCAGATCATCATGAAAAACGACTGATGCAGAAATAAAAGGAGCAAATTCTGTGCTTATCTGGAGAAAAAATATTTAACTGTTAAATCATCACATATCTTAAAATTTTTTAGACATGATGAAAGCTCACTCAGATTACTATAATTACCTAATTACTAATTTTAAAGTAATAAAAAAAGGATTTCTAGTGATGCAATTTATATTTTAACAAAACAGGTAATAGCAAGCATATATGTGTTTGTCTCCCATTCGGGAGGGAGGGGGAAGAAAAGGATTCTTAGTGACATAGGTTTTAATAATATTTGAATTTTCATGCATTAGGAATTTATATTATTTCTTGTTTCACACAAAACTGTGCACTTTATATTACAATTTAAAAAACCATAATCATATTTATTGCCTTCACAGTTTCTTTAGAAAAACTTTTAATAGCAAAGTATATTAAATATTAATCTAAATAATTTCATTTGCTGCCATATACATATGAAGTTAAAAGTTCCAAGTTATAAAATTAATCAAAAAGTAAAAAATTGGACATTAAGTGAATATTTAGCATACAATTTGATACATAATTATACTAATCGATACGTAATTACAAAATATTATACACAATGTATTCTATAAAAATGAAATTCCTTAATATTAACGTATCCATTCTTTTAAATGTAAAACCAAACACTTTAATAAATTTAAATTTCAAGTTAGGCTTAACTTACCCGAGAATACTTCGAAATGGTAAAATTTTCTCGCGGTATCAAATTTAACCATCTATGTAATACATCTTGTTGCTCAGGAAATCATTATACTGATACTTTAGAACCGTCACAATAATTTTCTCGGCATAACGGCCCACAGCACTTTAAAGGCATGATTGAAATCGATAAAAAAATGTCAATATCAAATTAAGGAGACTTGGGTTCACGCGCCTTCTCATGACCAAGGACGAAATTCCCCTAACTTGCTAATGCTATCTAGATGGCCTTGGTTTAGGGGCAATTTTTCGCACCCCATCAAGAAGGCCAACAGTTTATGACGTCACTAAACTACGAGCCCTTCAGTAGAGAGGCTTGTGTTTAAGAAGGTGTTGGCAATTATCCCTCTGTGGACAGCTGATGTATATTTGCATTGAATACAAAGATAAAGCCTTCTACAAACAGTTAATTAGATGTGCATATTTTATAGCTGCTAGATCCCTAAATTTAAGAGTTATCGATATTAATGGACATTAGTGAGTTAATTCCATATTACAAAAAAGTGTCTAATAGCAGTTTTATAATTAACAGAATATTTATGTTTTACAGAATAATTCAAGCCATATTAAGAGGGGGTAAAGGAGCATAAAAGCAAAAGATGAAGGTGTAATAATGTGGTAGTCAGAATAATTTGCTACTAAGCACTATGGTGTTGCTTGGAAACAGATATTAGCTTTGGTTGATTATAGACTTGCTTACATAAACACGCATACAGTATATTTTGGTTTTTATAGTATAACAAAAAATAAATAAATCTGGGTGGTCCTTATGTATTATCACAACCACCTTAATAGAAATAACCATAGCTTCAAAATAATACAATGTGCATAGCAATTATTAAGGCAACCATATGTATGACAAATAGTCAGTTTCCAATGTCACCATTCCAAGTTCCAACGACTTTTATACATAAATTCTGATTATTTTTTGGTTTACACCAATTTTAAGAATTCTGCTTTATTTTCACATAATAGAAGAAAAAGAAGGGAAATTTCTGCAGGAATACATTGTTTTACTATAAAATCACTAAAGGAATAATGTTTTACATTTACAAATTTTATGTATGTTATATAATAAATTTTTACAATAAAAGTAAATGTTCTCTTCCTTCCATAAAAAATTCATCAAATTGTGCCAAGGGTGATTTCAATAATACTTAAGTACCATTATGTGTTGTTATGCTACCAAAAAAAAAGGGGGCAAAATATTGTACCCAAGTTAACAATGGCTTAACACTAGACCATCAACAGGTATCTTCTCCCCTCTGAAGTGCATTATTAGATAGCATAATAATTTTTGATGAATTTTAAGCAATGCACATAATGCAAGTGGAATTTTTACATTTTTGAGTACAGGTGGTACAAACATAGGTGGAATTTTTTACATATTTCAGTTTGAAGTAATTCTAAAGCAAGTTTTACCTAATTTTTCCACTGGTATTTCAACATAAAGCAGAATTCCAAAAGCAATCACTTCTGATTACTATTAATGTGATAATAAATATCCTAATGTGACAATGAATTTTACTTCGTTTATCTTTTTAAGGATATTAATGTAAGTTATCTTTCATTTTTCTTAATATAAATGGCTCGGTTTTATTAATGGAGTGATTTTTCTGCCACTGTGAAACTTGCCTTGTTATAAAATCATTTCATAGTAAAATATAGTGCCTATTTGTCATTCATATCAACTCAATTAGATCAATTCAGTCAAAGATTGTGAATTAATGCTAGTTTAGAAGTAAAGATATACTTTGATTATTTCTACTTACATGGCAGTAAATAAATCTAAATAAAAAAGGCAAAGTTGGGAAGCTATGCAGAAGTAACATTTTAATAAAAATAAAGAAGATTATGAGAAAGGTTGATCATTTCTATGAATCACTGCTATTAGTGAAGTGAAAAAAAAAAAAAAAAAAAAATCTTCAGGAAATATAAATTGTGATTGAAAAATTATTCTAACTAATTTCAAAATCTGGAAAGATATTTTTCATTTCCGAGACAGTTGTAAGCACTATATTTACCAGCATATCAAATATAAAACAATTATTATAATGATTATTCAATGTTGGATGTAGAGAAAAAAAAGCTCCCAAAACAGTTAAGTTTCTATAATGAACCAAATACTGCACACCATTGCCTCAATGTTATTATCATGAAATGGTTGCTAGCCTTAAAATAGCTAGCAGCCATTTTATTAATTAATAAATAATTCAAAATAGCTGTATTTTGCTATTATAAGCATTTAGATAATTTACAAATCAGTATTAAATAAACATATATTAATGGAAAACTATACAGAACTATTTCTAAAGCAAATATGTTCAAATATGTAAATTTTACAATAGTATAAACATAAAAGTTTTATGCTCAATCATTAAGAAAATTTTCAAATATGCAAAAAACGCAAATTAAAAAAAAATGTAATTAAAATAGTACTAAAAAAAGTTTTTTGTGCAAGGAAACGGAATATAGAAAGCATATTAAAAAAATTTTAATTAGGCAACACAGCAACTTTGCTTTCGAATACATTTCAATTAAATCAATTTTGAGGGTGATCAGACATAGGTTACTCTTCTTCAGGGGTGGAAAAATTCTGTGAAGAGGGAAGGAGTGATGGCTGTATTTATATCAAGAACAATTGGCAGAGCAAAGCAAATATGAATGTAAAGGAAAATAGTAAATTAACCCTCTGAGCACTATGACCGGCTTTACACGGTCATGAGATTTTTTGTCACTTAGTATATATAGTACAAAGTCTGTAACCTGGACTTGTTGGGACTTTGGCGATTTCGGATTAGAGGTTTTTCCAGATTACAGATCATCAATTTAAATCTGGTACGATGGCATGCAGAAATTATACAATTAAAAATATTACACCATAATTTATGAAATAAAGAGCAATTATGATCCAAGGGGTATCAAAATTTACAAAAAGAAAAGCTTAATATTTATTTGTTTACTTTATTAAACATTTCTTTCAATGTAAGTTGTTTAAGTTGGTTTGTTTTTTGTGCTAATACTTCCTCTTTAATTCTATAAACAGACATAATTACTTGTTCAGTTACAAAGTTCCACTGTTCAAGTTCTGTAATTGCTGTGTCGAGAATACCAACTAACTTGTCAATCAAAATTTTTTTGTTTTCAATAACCTCTCTGTCACTTTCTTCACTATCGGAAGCACGCATGGGTAAACAAACGCTTTATGTGCATGCATAGCAGACGCGCACATTAAACATGCATGCGCAAGTTTGTGGCTTTGAGTTCCGGATTACAGACTTTGTACTGTATTAGCTTATAAATCAAGATATTTTGCTTTCTTTAATAAATATCATCTCAATAAATGTAAGTTTATGAAAATAGAAACTAAAATAAGTAAATATACAAATTTACCTAATAAAGGCTGTTTAAATACAGATCCTTCATGACAGATCCAAAAACCCATGCCGCTCAGAGGGTTAAAAGTAATGAAATATGAAAAATTACAATATTTAAATTTTAGAAGCATTAGCAAGAATTTGGATTAAAGTCATTAACTAAAAAGGATAAATTTATCTCATCAACTGAAAAAGTGTTATTACTGATTTTCAAAGTTAGAATTTTGACTAAATGTCCAATTATGATTAGTTATAAAAATTTTTTTATTTCTCCTTTTCAGACGTAAGATTTGTGTTCTGTAACATTAAGCTTTAATGCTCTTTTAGCTAGGTTGATATAGCTCAAAGCATACTTACAATACATACTAATTCCCCAAGAATTAAAGTCAGATGGAATCTTTAAAATCAAATAATAAATTTTACTAATAGGTGGAAAATTGACTTAAAAGCTGAACTTTTGGAGAATCTGTGCAATTTTATAATTGATGTAATGATGAAATGGAATGACAACAAGGTTATTAATGCTATTTCTATCAGCAAAATTGGTTTTTTGATGACAAGATGAAAATCTTTTTAAAGATTTATCAGTGACCATGGGAAAAAAACCTCTGTCAACAACAACAGATTTCAAATAACTGAATTCACAAGAAAGCAAAGATTCTAAAGAACAAACTTTGAGAGCATGATATACATAAAAATACAAAGAAGCTATTTTTTGCTTAGCATGGAGAACCACATAAACAGAAAAAGATTTAACTTAAAATAGTAGGGCTGAAATAAAATTAATTGCAGATTATTAGAATATTAAAGAAGAAATGGAACTTTTAGATTCAACTTTAAAATGAACAATTAGCTGGATCAATCAGATTCAACTTTAAAATGAATCATTAGCTGTATTAATAAGATTTGTAACAGATAAAAATCTGGAATAAATCTTCTTTATTACCATCAGAAAGCCAAAATGTTCATTTACGTGACAAATCCAGAGCCAAAAGGATAACTTTCCAAATAATTCAACCTCAAAATAGCACGGGCAAACATCAGCAAGTTCTGGACTGTGGGAATTACCCATAGTTAATCCTTTCATTTGGCATTAATAATTATTTTGGAAAATGAAATGGGGTTGATGCAAAGAAATTTTAGTGAAAGGTTGAAGTTGAAATGAAGAAGAAGAAGTTGAGTTTTCAATATCAGTATGCATCCAATGGAATTGAGGAGTTAATTTCTCTCTTTCCACATTTAATTTACAGCCCAAGTTAAGCATGACAAACAACATTAAATTTTAATAATACATGCATGTTTTAAAAAGAGATAAACAATAATTCACTTATACAACCTTGGTGATAACATATGGCATATCCCTCCTTGAAACTTTTATGAAGCTCTTTTGCTTTGATGCTAAAATTTCAAGATTTTTAGCAGTTAAACCTAAAAAAGAAAATCTTAAATTAATAATAGTGTAATCATAAATAATCATAAAATAAAAAAAGAATAATTAATTATTAAGAACTAGAATTAAAATAAGAAAAGAAGCACCATTATGTAAAGCATGTTAAATAATAACACGCAATAAATATGTGATTTTTGTAAAGCTAAACTACTCACCTACATGTACAATCCCATCTAAAATTCCTATAGTTGCTGGAACTGCCTTATTCTTCCTAACAACATTTTCCATTTCAATAGCAGTGCTAAGGAAGAGAAGTTATTTCTGATGAGGTAATTTAACTACATAAAAATCAGAAAGACATGTTTAAAATCTCTTTAAATAATATATTCATCTCTGTAATCAATGTCCTGATTAGATTATTAATCCCACTTTTGAAATTATTCAGTGTCTTAATGACTAGAGTATTAAAAATACGACTAGAAGCTTTATATTCTTAAATATTGATGTTAGATTCTAGATTTTCAATTAAAAACTTATTCAACTAAATTACAGAATTCTTATGAAATCAATAAAAATGCATTATTTTTCTCTGCTTGATATATTATTTTTCACCACTTAGATATACAGGGTATATCAGCACAGTGTTGACAAACTTTCAGGAGAGATAGAGTACACCTAGACAATGGGAAATCACATAGGAATGCATGATCGGAAACGCTTTCCTGGCGCAGTAGAAGAAGAAGAAGAAGTAGATTAAGGCATTCCCCGTATCGAGAACTCAATCTCATTCCGGGTCCACTCCCCCTTTGGGCACGTCGTGGTGGTTCAACCTCCACTATTACCCTCCAGGAGAGCAGCGCACCACCTGGGGACGCACCCCAGGCAGCGCAGCACCGGTCGTCTAATGCTCCTACCAGTCGCTTGGACGAGCCTTGCATTCCTGGCGCAGTAGTGACGACACAAAAGTCAGTGAGAAAACATGTTTGTTATCCAGAGTACAACAAAGAAAAAACAACATAAAGAGACAAGGATCATCATCAAAGAATGTGTTACCAACCCGAACCGTGATGCATGAACTGTGCAACATGCATCTTCCATTCGTGATGCAGATCTTCCATATGGAGATGCGAGACTTGTATCACTGCCCGGGGTCGTAATTTTGAACACCTTCTTTAATGACAAATGCTGTTTGTTTTAGTTCTTATTTGTAGGTTTCTGCTGTACTACACATAAAACATGTTTTGTCTCACTGTACTTTTTGTATCATCACTATTGTGCCAGGAAAGCATTTCCGACCATGCATTTCTGATGTTTCCAACCATGCATGACCATAATTTCCCATCGTTTACGTGTACACTATCTCTCCTGAAAGTTTCTCAATGCTGTACTGATACACCCTGTATTATTAATATTATATTCTCTTAGTATTATTTTGTCTTTATAGTATATTTATATTTTAACAGTACATTTGCATGATACATATTTATCAAAATTAACAAAACCTTGTATAAAATGAATAAAATATCTTTACTAGACATGATTTTTAGGTTCTACAGAACATTCAGATCATAAAATACTTTTCCAATAAAAAAGTATTCTTAAAATTTTAGGTTTTATAAATCATGAATTATCTCTGTAAATTTCCAAAGCTTCTTACAAGCTTATTCACAAAAAATTAAAATTATATGAACAGAAAATGTAGAATAATGTGTTTAAAAGAAAAAACGATTATTGTTCCAAAGAAATAGTGACTGCACTTTTCAGTACATTATACTATTTCTGATTAATAGCCATATGTGAAACCAAAAATAACTAATGTTAAAGAAAAATAAATAATAAGGGATATAACATATTACTTTAAGTTCTCAGGATATGGAAGCCCATGAGTTATCACTGTACTCTCTAAAGCTACTATAGGCTTTCTTTTTAAAATACTTTCAGACACTTCTTCTGAATACTGGATAAAATCTGGAAAATAATGCAATGATAATCAGAAAAATAACCATCTTTAATTTACTTCATTTAGCACTGATGAACACAAATGTTACAGATCTCAAAAGGAATCAATACGTTTAAAATAATAAATGATTGTAGTCAGTAAATTATATAGATACCAATTAACAGGAAAATAATTTAAAAAAAAAGCAACATGGTTATTGAATAATGAAATTATTATAAAGTATTGATGAATTAAATAAAAACATTTAATTACATTAAAAGGACGCGAAGAGTTAAATCTTAATTTCTTAATGAAATTTTGAATGTGTAAAATCAAAAATAATATATCTCGCAAAACATAACTGAAAAATATGAACCATATATGCATTTGAACATACCAGAATTTATATTAAATTTACGTCAAATCCATTAAATAAATAAGTATACACAGATACAATGAAAAGCACACAATAAGACAAAATTATTAGTTATAAATCCGATAGATATAAATTAATAAAAAAAGTATTCGAAAAATAAATTGCACAGACTTTTATGCTATATTACCTGCAGTCCATTTTTGGAAATTTCGATTTTTGCAAGTGAAATGTTTAAATATTCGATTAACTGAGAAGGAATACTTATACATTTTACTTTTACCTTGTATTAAAAATCAACTTATAATATAATTAAGCTATTAAGCTAATGTAAAGCTTTATTGGAAAGAGAAAACCGAACTGAAAATTGTAAATGAAAAAAAAAGCTCGTATATGTCACATATGAACGAAAATCATAAAACTTCGGTCTAAATCAGTTCATTTAAAGTACTATTCCATGTCTGTAGAGATCAGATGTTTAACAATTCCAAACGATAACATTACTAATCGCGAAATCTTTTGTAAACATTAAGCATGCTAAATAAGAAGCGTCTGCTCTCAAAGTCACGTTGCCACACATGATGCGTCATTTCCGTAGAGTCAAAAATTTCGCAACTTGGCGCCACTCTTTAGCTATAATGAGCATGCTCCAGAAACTCAAGAAGAAGAGTTAACTACAGCAACGTATTCGAGCTGTATCTGCTTCTAGAGCACTACTTTATGAAGGGTTTTTAAAGGAAATAGTCCATATTTATTCGGAAGATTTAACCTTTGCAAGTAAAGAAATGAAGTTCTTTGATAGCATTGATTCACAATAATGATGTTTAATTTATCGCTAGGGTTTAAATAACACACATTAGTCATAAAAAGTTAAAAACAGAAATTATTGTCAAATTTTCAAAATAAATTAATTAATTAAAATAAAAGGTGTTCTTCACCTCCCTTATTTTTATTTGTTTATTTATTTTGGCCATAGCTGTATAGTGTCCATTACGTTTTGAAAGGGTTTACTATCTACTGTTTTGGCAAGTATTGCAACTGTGATAATTTGCACTGTTCACCGGTGACCACGGATTTCACGATCACCGGTGCTCTTCGATTACTATTAGGAGTGCTCTTCGGTTACCTTTAATTTTAACAATTTATCTAAATTTATTGCACAGCCCCACACCAGTGACCTACTGATTAATCAACTGCGACTATCAATCTGCAAGTCACCAGTGACCGGTCTCTCGGAACAGACTTTGCAATACCGATGGCGTAGAAGCGTAGATAGCACAGAACGTAGAAAAGGCTACGTTCTAGGCTATCAATATAGCAAAGTCTATATTATTACGAGTCGACGAGAATTGAATCTGTGTTATATCTATCCATTTCTGTTTTGCATGTCCAATGAAATATATTTTGATGTAAATCTGTGCTATACCTATTTTTAAGGTCTACGTTAATAATCAAAGTTCTACGTTTGTACACTGCTATATTTATAGTTTTGTTGTAAGTCTGAGCCATGTCTGTTTTTAATTTCTGTCTTCATTATCAAAGCCTCACTTGGGTTCTGCCCAGCGCCTACTAAGACGAAAAAAAAAAAAAAAAGAAGAAAATACTGTGTGATCATCCATGATTTAAGTGCTTTGTAATTTATGAGTGCTTCAAGCTCAATAAGAGTATTTCCAATCAATTGCAAAACGAATCGTCGTTCCATTCATCCGTCTGTGTTTATGAATAGTGTTTTCAACCAAGGCCAACTGGCCTTGTTTCAACTCCCATACGCATGGAAAACTAACAGAGGTTATGAATCTTATTGTTATTTATTTCGCCCTTGCTGAACTGCGAAAATGCTTTTCATTCCTGAGTTTTAATATCCAGCCTTATAGATGTTTATCCAAATCGTTTTCTTTCTCTCAAAGTAGATTATTTACTGATTTCCTAGTGAAACAAAGTGATGCTGGTGCAATGAATTTTATATTTTGCATGAAATGTTTTTAGTTATAATTTTCGCAATTTAATTTTAAAAAAGAAAAGACAAAAAACATAGTGTTCAAAGAATGAAAACATGAATATTCTGATATTTTCATTTAATAGTTTCGTGTTTATTCGTTTTGTTGGTGCAATTTATTTCACAATTTTTGCTAATCCAGTAGGTTTAAATTTTTCATAACTAAGAGATAATTAATTAAATAATGTTATTTTAAAATTTAAACACGTGAAATTTACTTTGTTTTATGAAAATGAAAGATTAAAAATTTTATGGTATTAGAAATAGAAATTTAAATAACTATTTTTGAAATTATTAATTAAAAATTTCCATACTTTTTTTCAGTAAAGATTATCAAATTGTAATGTCATTAACCATTATATTTTGGAGTTACGTTAAAAATGTTTGAATTAATGTTAAGAAATTTATAATCACTGTGAGAATAAAGTAAATATAAAAAATAAGTAAAATTGCAGCATATAAATAATAGGAAATTATAATAAATGCATTTTAAAATTTATGGGTGATTGTATATTAAGTATTGAATATGTTGAGGAAGTACTGATTCCGAAACAGAGGTGTGTTCATCAAACATCTGCGCAATTGTTCCTTTTGTCCTCCTCATATAAGATAATGTTGAAGGCTCTCGTTTTATGAATGAGCGTAAGTATTTTTATATATTATTATTATTTTATATTTTTTATGGAATGTATTAGTAAAGTTCACAAAGGCCATTTACCTTATGGAAAGAACGGAGGCCTTTTCAAGTAACTACCAGAGCTCACTTGAGCCATTGGTGCAGAGCTCAAGCAGATATTCTTATTGATGGAAATATTTATTTAGGAGTACTGCGGGGCTTTCCAGTTTGGTAAAATAAGAAATTACAAATGAAAGATAATTACAGTGAAATCATAATTTTTGAAATATTACTCCTCGTATATTTGTGATGTTAAAATGTAACTCATTAATATGAAAATTAGTTTAATCAATTTTCATATGTGTTACAGCTAGAACACATATGAAAACTGAAAGTTGTATTTGTGATACTCTGTTATAACAAAAACCTTCTCTGAAGAATTATGAATATGTGGATTCTAAAACAAAAAAGGTTTTGGTCTGAAATGATTAAAAATTTAATAGGACTCTAAAAATTACATTTACTTTAAAAAACTTATATTCAAAAACTATACCGACACAATTAAATAAGTATATTGGTTTAAATTTTTACGATTTACATTTCTTTTCATTTGTTACTTCTTTAACTCTTTTTCTTCAAACAGGTTTCTCTGTCGAATATGAAAGAAAAAATGAATATATATGAAACAAAACTGTTAAGCTTAATTGGAAACATTTAGCAGTAGATCTTCAAATTCATAAATTTTCATTAAACGCATCCCCTCTTCAAGGATTTGCTTCGTACCATTTTGTATCCCTCTACCGCATGTTACGTCGCTCTTCCCCTGTAGTATCTCTTCACTGAAATATCTTTAGCTAAGTTGCTGCTCAGGAATAACACAAAGACAGTTCGAATATAAATAAAATCAGAATAAGTACGCATTGCTTTTTCACGCTTCCTGCTTCTTGAATAAACCACGTCTCTTACTCGGCTTTCTATCCTTATCATCTGAAATATAAGCTGTGTCATAATCAAAATTGTGGGGTGCATTAACACCCCACAATTTGTACCAGTGTTGTACCAGTTTTAAACAAGAATGTGTTTTTGAATAATTATTTCCGTGCAAAATAAAAATTGTTTTACCATTCAAGCCATTTGTGGGTTTTGCACCAGTTGTTATCTAAGCAATAGTCTTCTCGGCCATGACTCGAGCGTGAACTGGTGCGAATCTCAGTGCGGTGGTGAAGCTGCGAATCTTTCCAAAAAACTACAACATTATATAGATATGAGCCATAATGAGATTCGAATTAGGCTAATCTACCATTTACCGCTTCTTAGTTTTATATTTTTTGCTCAAATCATTAGTTAGTACTTTTACTAATGTTTTAAATATACCTTAATTTAATTAGCATATTGCTTACTATTTTTATTGATTTTTACTTGTAAATATTCAAATGTTGTATTTTTTCTCTTGTAACACATTTCATTGCAACTTATTTTGCTTATGTTAATATTTTAACGCAACCACAGTATTTAAGCGGCTTTTTAGCGTACGACCTAGGATTTTTCTTTTAACCCTTTTCTAAATTCTGCATCACAATGCGCAAAGTTTTTGACCACATTGGTCTTTTATAGTTTGTTCTTTTTGCTTTACTTTAATTGGTATATTATATATAATATATATGTGTGTGTGTTTTTATATATGTGTGTGTGTGTGTAAGTGTGTGTGTGTAAGTAAAAAATATAAAAGCAAACTTATAATTTTAATTGGCTATAACCTTTTTTATTTTTTATTTACTTCCTCTCTCTATCTTAATTGCTCAATCACTAAATAATTGTAACCTAAAACTTTTTTTACTCGAACTGAAACTTTCTGACTCCCATCCTTCTTCCTCTGAATTGCTGCGAATCTCTCGCTTACGCTTTTCTCCTGGCAAAACGCTTCGTGGCTACCTTCTTTGTTCACTGAATATGTGCTGAGTTAACAATAATGCAGGGCGCATAAGACGTCCGTCCGTGGCATGTGAACCAAATATTGCGAATCCGAAACTGCTTTTCTCAATAATAAAATTAACTTGAATCCGGCCATGTCTGTTTTGCCAAGTTTCTTCTCTAGACATCTATTACACCACCACGAAGTTCCAAATCATTCATATCATGACATATAATATATCAAGTAAGAAATTTAGAACTAATGTTTCACAAAGACCAAAAAGTTTTTTTTTAATTCATAATTAATAAATTTCAAATAATCTTGTAAATACAACAAAGAATTTGATAAATGTAAAAACCAAAACTTTTAAACTTTATGAATTTAAAATAAATTTTTGTTCTTTATGAAACCTTAATTGTAAATTTCTTACTTTATGTCTTTAATGATAATTTTCAGCAGCTTAAAGCACGAAAATACTAGGCATATTTATATTTTGTTTTTAAAAAAATTGTTTTGTAATTATATACACTCTTTTGCAAACAGATCGAAGCACCAAGAAGGACTTTCGCGATCGTAACGAAATTTGGTACGCAAAAACATCTTGATCGAACATGCAAATGATCAAAGTTTCAAGGCAACTGAACAGGAATAGCGATCATAGCGGGCATTTCTAGTGCACAATTCGCACAGTATAAAACCAGTAACAGAGGCGAAAATTTTATCTTTTTTTGTTGCTGCTATTGTAATTCCGTAAAGAAGCAACTAAAGATACCAATACGACGATATCAAAGACCTTACAGACAACTAAACGACTTCCAGCGTGGTCGCATTGTAGGATTGCATGAAGCTGGGTGGTCATACCGAGCAGTAGGCCACCACCTGCAGGGTACAGACACTGGCTGTGCAAAGATATTGGCAGCAATGGTTGCTACAAGGAAACTGCCAACGAAATGAAGACTCTAGAAAGCCAAGGAGCACAAATACAAGGCTAGATAGGACGATTGTTCGCCAGTCGCGAACCGTCCCACCGGTATCATTGTCGACTACCCAAAGCAC